AAATTTTCAGACAGAACAGTTAACCAGGGAAACAATTTCCCCTCAGAGGTTGCAGGTGGCTCCATCATTGGAGGTTTTTGAGAAGAAGCTGGACAACCACTTGTCTGAAGTGGTGTAAGGTTTCCTGTCTAAGCAGAGGGTTGGACTAGAAGACCTCCAGGGTCCCTTCGAACTCTGTTATTCTGTAATCTGACTCTGTTTCCAGCCAGTGCTACTTGTTAAAGGAAGCACATGGCAGCCCTTGGAAATTGTCCCCACCTGCCTTATTCTCTCCTCTCCTGCTGCTATGCTTAGTACAACATACCTTAACGTGGCATTAGATTAGGTTAATAAAGTTGGGAGGGACATTGTAGGTCATCTAGTCCAACCCTCCACCCAAGCAGGAGACCCCATACCATTTCTGACATGTGGCAGTCCAGTCTCTTCTTGAAAGCGTCCAGTGATGAAGCTCTCACAACTTCTGAAGGCAACTTCTGTTCCATTGGTTGATTGTTCTGACTGTCAGAAAAATCCCTCCTCCTTTCTAGGTTGAATCTCTCCTTGATCAGTTTCCATCCATTCTTCCTTGTCTGGCCTTTGGGTGCTTTGGAAAACAGCTTGACCCCCTCCTCTCTGTGGCAGCCCCTGAGATATTGGAAGGCTGCTATCTGGTCTCTCCTGGTCCTTCTCTTCGCTAGACTAGCCATGCCCAGTTCCTGCAATCGTTCATCATATGTTTTAGCCTCCAGAAAGGATAATCTTAGATTCAGATGAACAGAGCTGGAAGGGACCTTGTAGGTCACCCACCCAAACAGGAGACCATTCCCACACCATTTCCGACAGATGGCAGTCCAGTCTCTTCTTGAAAGCTTCCAGTGATGAAGCTCCCACAACCTCTGAAGGCCAAAGGAGGAAAAAAATTCCTCCTTATTTCTTTCTTGAAACTCTCCTTGGTCAGTTTCCATCCATTATTCCATGTCTGGACTCCAGGTGTCTTGGAACAGAGCTAAACATGGCATTCCTCTCCCTCCCAATTGGACTCTTTCACAGGTTAGGATCATGCTCAAGCCTTCAGAAGTGAAAGAGACGGGTGATTACTCTTTCGAGCAGCTGCCACAAATTTGGCGCAGATTCCGATTCTCCCTCTTTAGCCCCACTGTGAAGAGGGGCCTCCGTAGGACCAAATGCCAACATGCGAAGTGCTGTGATTTAGTAGTCATGCCCTGGGGCTGTACCTGCTGGCGTCTTCCCTTTGCAGCCCGAGGTCAGATTTCCACGTTGGGATCTGTGAAGCCTTTCTTTCCCTCGTTCACCAACACGGGTTTCTCGGTTCTTGTGTGCCAGACGAGAATCTGGATCAAAGAAGAAGGATTAGAAGGTCAGTTCCAGGGTCTTCTTGCATGCATGCAACATATGTTGCCTTATTAAACTAAGGGCATAGCTAGGTATATAAGAGCCGAGGTGGCGCAGTGGTTATAGTGCAGTACTGCAGGCTACTTAAGCTGACTGCTAGCTGCAGTTCGGCAGTTCGAATCTCACCAGGCTCCAGATTGACTCAGCCTTTCATCCTTCTGAGGTCGGTAAAATGAGGACCCAGATTGTTGGGGTGGGGGGCGGGGAATAGGCTGACTCTGTAAATGGCTTTGTTGGCTGCTGGCGGGCCACAACACCAGAGTAAGAGGGGGGCATAAAAATATTGCCGTCACCAGGAAACTAGCAAATCATCTCAGTGGCTTTCTCAGGCCCATTCAGCTGTCCTTCCAACGTGGTTTCCAAACCACGTTCCAAGCACATCTCCCAAGAAAACCACTTAGCTACATTTGGTTTCCTTTCAACGTATTGCCTGAGTTCATATTTACTAATGGTGACTAGGCATTGCAAACACAGCGATGTAGGGTGCTTCCTTGCTTGTTCCTGGTTCGCTTTCATCCTGACAGAAGAGAATATTTCTAGCTCAAGGTTGGATCGGTGGTGGGATTCCAAAGATTTTTACTATTGGTTCTGTGGGCATGTCTTGGTGGGCGTGGCAGGGGAGGGATACTGTAAAGTCCCCATTCCCTCTCCAATCCGGAGAAAGTTACTGCAAAATCCCTCTTTCCTCCCAATTAGCTGGGACTCGGGAGGCAGAGAATAGATGGGGGCGAGGCCAGCCACAGGTGACATTTGCCGGTTTTCCGAACTACTCAAAATTTCTGCTACCGGTTCTCCAGAACTGATCAGAACCTGCTGAATACCACCTCTGGGTTGGATATAAAATGATTGGTAAATTGTGAACCCAGAAAGCCGGTGCATCTCCTAAAGGTGATTCTCTCAGCTTCCAAGCTGCTTACAAGCTTGGTAACTTGCAGACTTCAACTCCCAGAATGCTCCAGACAGCCAGCTACGAAAAGACCAGGAAAAAAAAAGACCACGCCACGCCACACCAACGTCTCTTACACCCGAAGCACTCGTGATTAGTCCCTACTGCTTTTTTAATTACACTCAAACCTACGGTTTCTCCGGCATCTCACTCTGCATCTCCAATTACAGGAACCGTCAAAAGCATTATCTTCATTATTAAAACAGGAGGAGGATAATTGTCAGCTCTCCAACCGGCTGCCACGTCTAAATCTGTTTCAGGCTACCGAAATCAGGGGGAAACAAAATGAACTCGGTTTTTTTTAAAAAAAGAGGGAGGGGTGAATCAAAATTGCTGGAAGCTTCCAAGAAGAGATTGGACTGCCATTTGTGGTGGTGTAGGGTAGGGGCGTCAAATATGAGATGGTTTTTCCAGTGGATGTTCTCCAGAGAAACCAGCGTCTGTCTAAGCCGCCCCTCCGGTTGGAATGTCAACGGCAGCCATACCTTAGTGCAATTGGCAGCTTTGGGCTCGAGGTCATTCAAGGTCACCAGCTCCCGGAGCAGGCTGCTCTCCTGATAGCCCCCTTTGACCCCGCGCAGTTTGAAATAAGCCTGAGGTCGCTGAAGGATTAGCCTGAGGTTGACAGCAAAGCCTGCCATGTCGATTGCAAACGGCCGGTGGGGGTCGAAGACGGTTTTCCATCCATACACCTTCCCAGCAGCGTTGACTTTGGGGGACTCGTACCGCAAGCCTCCCACAAAGGCCACCGGCCAGACGGAGACCCTGCGGGTGGTCCGCATCTGGAAAACAAGAGGCGAACAATTAGAGTTTGTTTCAAAAAAATCAAATCCCGAAAGCACTCACAGATTTAGCAGGATTCATTAACTACTTTATATACTACTTAATAACAACATGAATATATGCACAATACCAACAGCAGATTCTTCCAACGTGGTAGAAAGGGGAGATCGGTTTCAGTTCAGAGAGGCAGACTAGCTTAGTTCTCTTGCACAGACTCAGAGCTACATAGGTAAGCCACGCCCAGGCTCCGAGCCGTCTGGCATGCCTCTCAGTCACCAAATAGTTCCCATTGGTTGACCCAGTCACCATGCCTATACATTGGCTGACCTTGTTACCATGTCCTATTCCAGCCAGTCCCCAATGGTTGACCTTTTGCTGTGTTCTATTCCAGTTCATGAATATTCTGACAAGAATGACCGAACATCCCTTGGATTGGCTCGATGGAAGAGCATGCCATTCTGTCCATAGTTGGGCAACTGATTAACATCTCTGTCTCTCCGATCTTCCTGACAGCTGAGCACAAGCTCTTCTCCAAGGTGACTTTTCTCAAGACGGTTCCAAGTCCCATTATCCCCAGACAACACAATAGTTGGGCTTGCTGGACACCAGGGTGGGGAAACCTGGCTGAAGCCACCTTAGATGCTCGCACATGACTTGGATAAGAAGGAAAATCACATCCCTTGAGTTGAGTTTACTGTCCCAGAATATCAGAGTTGGAAGTAGAGTTGTATGTAGTGGTTCACAAGGTGAGTCTGAGGATCAATTGTGGGATTGAAATAATTTAACAACAGGTTCTCTGCCCTAATGATTTCTTCGAAAAACCAGTTCACCAAACTGCTCAGAAAGTTAACAACCGGTTCTCCTGAAGTGGTGAAACATGGGCCCCTCGGAAATCTGGAAATGGCCCCGTGATTTCTCTGTAAACAGTGCACATGCGTGCAGCAAACAGGTTGTTAAACCAGTAGGATCCCACCCCTGGGAGGGAGGGAAGGAAAGGAAAGGAAAGGAGGAAGGAAAGAAGGAAGGAAGAAAGAAAGGAAGGAAGGAAGAAAGAAAAAAAGAAAAAAGAAAGAAAAAAATAAAAAAGAAAGAAAGAAAGAAAGAAAAAAAGAAAGAAAGAAAGAAAAAAGTAAGAAAGAAAAAGAAAGATACTCAGACCCTAAAAATCTACGAAAAAAGAAAGGTTCAGGGGCGTGGAACAGGAATAGCACCAGAGGTGGGTTCCTACCAGTTCGCACCTATTCGGTAGAACCGGTTCGTCAAATCTACCGAACCAGT